GGGGAGGGGGCTGGGAGGTCGGTGCTGCCCTCGCAGTGAGTGGGCATGGCCTCGAGAAAGAAAGGCCCGGTGCAGGCGGTGAATGGGCATCGCTCCCGGTTGTCTCCCTTACCCTCGAGGACCTGGGACCTGCCTGAGGTACCTGACCGGCTCTAGTGTTGCGCTGCCTGCATCAAGTGAAAAAGGCTGCAGCAGTCACTGCTTGGTGCTTATTGCACAGGTTATTGGGAAGCTTCCCAAGTGGAAATAATATTTCTGACTTGCCCATGTCTGTAAGACTAGCTATTGGAAGTCCCTTAGTTTGTTTTTCAGTCCTGAGTCAACTCGTTGCACTAACTGAAATCCTTTAGGCCAGGGCAAAAAACAGGGTCTTGTCCTGTTTCTTTTAACAGTCTGAAATGTTCAGGTTTTGGTTCTTGTAAACAGTACAATATCTTGGGATAGAATTAAGGGTTTTCATTTGAAGTGCTGCTTTTGGTAGGAGGCTGCCTTGTACAGTTAGAAACCTGAAGCTTGCAGTGTGGGGGTGGTCCCTTCAGAACCAAAACTGTCTGCTACATTTACTTAGCATTTAGTAGGATTTATACCAGAGCATCATACCCTCATTTACATGCTCCTTTAAGCATTATCTGCAGAATTTCAGTTGCATGCTCTACTTACACTTTTTAGTCTGCATTTTACATGTTTGCTTCACTTTGGGCACTTTAATTGGCATGCCAGTGCACTTCATTTGAGGTGCTTCATGTCAGTGAATAAAGATGATGGACTGAGAGTCTCCTGGAAAAGGTGGCACTCAGGGATGATCTGCAGTCCACAGAGTTATCCATGTATCCTAGAGTTCATTTTGCCCTCTGACACAAAATGGCAGCAGATTAATCGCTTTCCTGGCTGCAGCTTTCAGATCAGCCAGAAGTGGAAAGCAAAGAGGAGATGGATGCATGCTACACAGTACATATAACTGCATAGTAAATCCAGTGCTGCCTGGAAAGACAGCAGCCATCATGTGAAATGACATTGCAGGTGAAACTACATCATCTGCTGCTGAAATGATTGAGCAGATTAGGTTGCTCTTACAGAAGAGCAGGGACTAGAGTTCCCTGATATTTAGGCTTGGATTTCCAATCTGACCTCATGCCTGTGTTTTTGCAGGTTTCATGCTGATCCACTTGAAATCCCACAGATTTTATACAGTAACAGAAATCAAGTAGTTAAGGGGGCTTGTTTGGGTTTTTTTGTTTTAATATGCTGTATGTCTTACTTTAAGAAGTCTCAAAATTGGTCTAGATTTCAATATAAAAAATACAAAATTGATATAAAATTATTTTATAGAATGTTTGATTATGACAAGATAATATAATCAAATTATTTTAGTAATACTGGCCAGAATCTAGCCATCTTGATCTGTTTTGGCATGATGAATCCAGACAAAAACTACAGAGAGTAGCTGAATGCAACTTGCATATGGGTCTTGTGTCCTGTTGATATTTCAGGTTCTTAACTTGGTTCTCTTATTCCTGATCTCACTGCTCAGTTAGATGAAACTGAAGCATGCAAATGCCTACTAGAGAAGAACATCAATAATGGTAGTTTCTGCTATAAAGTAATAAATTGGAAAATTCTTCATTAAATATTTTATGAGAATTTGTACTCAAGGCAGTTGGATTAAGCTGTGGTAGAGTATTATCTTTCTGAAGTTAAATCCTTTAACTTCTGCATTGTCTGAAGATGAGTTAAGAGATGTGCTCTCCTAATAGTACAGGAGAGCCCTTAATATTATTTTCTTGACTTAATTGAAATTATCAGTGATGACATTAGGGTTAATAGCTTACAATTAGAGTAGAAATAAAGCTGGTTCTGAAAGCATTGTCTGGCAGTTCTGTAATTTATTAACAATTAATACTGTCTGCTTTATTTTGGTTGTAGATAAGACAGATCCGATACTTACACAGAACAGCAGTGTGCAATTCCAGTGGAGGAGCCTTATTTGTGGTGAGTAATTTTCTACGTTATAGGAAGGGGGATGTATAAGAAGAGTTTGGCGTATGTTTTTTTTTAATCTGCCGAGGAGATTCTGATGGGCAGAACTTGCTATAGAAACCTGTTGGAGTTTATAACAAAGCATTTTTTCAGTAGAACTTTTTATTAGAGTTGCAATGGTGTATCAAAAGGTTTTATTTTAGTTTTTGTCCTCATGTTGCTTATATAGTGAAAAATTGTTTATTAATAGTAATTGTGATATTAGCAGCATCTATGTGTGTTGGCATATGAGACTTTGTTTAAACTTACTTCATTATAAAACAGTTCTTGGTTTGTTCTTAATTTAAATTAGTTGAGTTTGTAATGAAGCTTATGAAACTTTTTCCAGATGTAGTTCCTTGATTTTTAAGATTTGTTGCAGAATTGCCCTTAGGTCCAGGTCTATGTCTGTTCACTAGCAGTTGAAAAGTGCAGTTCTTGTTCGTGTTGGATTATGATTCATAATTGAGGCCATTAGGCATTATCATAGTACATAGTAATAGTTATTGAAAAAAAAAACAAACCCTGAAATTTAAATGTGTAAAGCAGACGTGTTGTATGTCTACCTCTGAAGAGAACGTGAAGCACCTCTAAGAGGTGTAATTTGTCCTGTTTTGCTCCATTCAGAGCTTTATCTAGTCTGAATTTCAACAGGTAAATAACTTGGCATTTTTCCAACGTTTAGTAGACATCAGCACTTTACTAGAGAATTGACCACTTTGTTGAAAGCAGGTGCTCAGCATTTTTGGACATATTTTTGTTGTTGTTGTTGCCTTTCTGCAGCTCTTCTCACAAGATGAAGTTAATGGGATTACAGTACATGCTTTGTATACTTTTCCAGAAACCTGAGCAGCCATTGATGATTTATGGAGTGAGAGCTGGTATTCAAGGAGCAAACAGTGTAGGCTGACAACTTAGGAAACTTAAGTGTAGTTTGAGGTTGGTGAAGGCAGGAAGGTGTCTCTGGCACCTTAATGGATGTTGGCATCTGGCATCTGAAGCTGGATAGTTTTGTACATTCTCCAGACATTTTTCAAGATTTATGCAAATGCTTAAATTATTTGCTGGAGGGAAGAGCCTAGAAATAGAGAAAGGGAAGTAGAAAAGAAAAATCGTGAGTTTTAGTTAGCTACTTGTGATGTCCAGCTGTTTTATTTCATAGAATTATTCACTGCTTTTATTTTCATTCCACAGCAGATTTTTTGCTAGCAGAGGATAGGAAATTGTTTGGGGGAGGGTGTGTGTTTGTTTTATGGTTGTGTTTTTGTTTTTCTTTATACAGGGTAATATTAGTTCTTCTATGAAGTAAAAGGCTATGGGAAGAACATAGTTGGTTGTTGTGTGTGTGTGTAATTGCTTGCTTTAACTACAACTACAGTAATTCAGGGGAAATTTCAGATGTTATTTAACACAGCAAATTTAAAGGGAAACTCATCTGCTGAGTTGAGCTGAAGGCATTATTTTAATCAACGCTAGGTGTTTGTGTACACACAGAAAATGGGACTTTTCCCCCAAATTTCTGTACAGGTGGGAAGTCTTAGTTTTCTAGGATATTACAAGCAAATGAAGTGTCAAAGTTTGTTAAAGACTGCTTGTGGAGGCATAGGAGGCTTACCTGGGAGTAACTCTGACCAACTCTGGTGGTCCTCTTTGTATGTCAGTTTATACACAAGTGTCTTCATTTTGTTTTGAAAACGTATCGGTGGTGCTTGTTGCGCTTTCCATATAGGAAATCTATATGTGAGGAAAGGAAATGCATACAGCATAGCTGTTTTGTAACAGCAGGGAACGCATTAGCAGGGGACCTGGTTGTCTTAAAATCTAGAATTAAAAGGCAGTGCAGATTTGCATGCCCTTTACAAACTTTTTTCATGCAAGTTTTTTCCTTACATGTTACCAGAAACATACAGAAATAAGAAAACTTCTACTCAAACGCTTTTTTTATTCTGAAGCAACCAAGAAGAGACTTTCTCAGCCGCTAAACTCAGTCTGGTGTCATCACAGACAGCTAGGTCACACTTTCGGAAAGCATACATCAAGTTTAAAATGAGGTAGATTGTTTCTTCATAGTGATGTAAGAGAGCAGCTCCAAGTATATCATATTTCTGCTGGCTAGGGAAGGCTTGATTTCAATCATAACTTTTATTTACAATAGTTTTCTTTCGTTAAACATGCCTTCCGTATCTTTGACTTTACCTGTCTTTAGCCTCCTTAACAACTAAAACTTAATTCTTCTACTTTGTGGCTTTCAACGTATGGACTGAGCTTCCTTAACACATTGACTGACCTGATGTGGGCTTTGTCATAGGGGCTGCACAGGGGTTCAGTACGGATGGTTAGAGAGTTGCTATATTGCAGTTTTAGCTGCTTGTGAAGGTGGTCAGTGAAATGTGTGGATCTGAGAGCACTGCCATCATTCTTAATTTAAGAGAGGTTTGTATCTTGTGTTCTTCTGGAATAGTGAATGTAGGTAGAACACTTTCCCCTTGGAGGAGAAGTAAATTTCGTTTCTGATTTGATACAGACTCTTTAATAGGTTGCCCTAAACATCTTTTTCCCTCTGCAGACCACCCGGTTCTCTCATTTTGGTTTACAGTGTTCTGGACTCATGTTTACGAGAGCGCATAGGTCAAGTTTCAGGTCAACTTCGTTGCAGTATACATGTCAGCTAAATTATTCTAGTTATTCTATTGTAATTCTTCAATGCTCTTTAATAATTATCTGTGTCAAGAAAGACACATTATTAGATCACTGAAAAAGAATAATGAAATGGTCTGAGTTGGTGTAGCAAAAATAGGAGATGAGCATTCAGCAGCCACAGTACATCCCGTGGGAGAGTACCATCATCTGTGGGGACAGCGTGGCTTGAGTAGGCCTTCACAGTGGATGTTTTCACACTTCAGGTTAGGCTGAATGCTGTGATACAAATGTAATACAGTCGAGGTATGCATGGAATGAGAACACGTTTTGTAAGACTTAAGGAAATTGGGGAGCACGAGAAGGGAATTGGGGAATAAAATGTGTAGATAGAGACATCTGGAACTTGCTTTTCAACAAATTGCTTTAGTTGGTACAGACATAATTGATTGTACTTGGTTCGTGTATGGAAGAAGCCTTATTTTATTGATTTCTTTTCATGAGCATCTTTTAGATGAGGAAAGGCTGAGAGGCTGGGGCTGTTAGGGAAGGCTGGGGAAGGGGGGAATCTTGATTGACGTCTGTAAATACCTGAAGGGAGGGTACAAAGAGGATGGAGCCAGAGGGCATGGCCTGAGAACATCAGGAAGTGCTTTTTTACTGTGAGCACTGGCACAGGTTGCCCAGAGAGGTGGTGGAGTCTCCCACCTTGGAGACACTTGGAAGCAGACATCTGGACATGGTCCTAGGCAACCAGCTCTGGCTGACCCTGCTTGAGCAGGGGGATTCAGCTCATATGACCTCCAGAAGTCCCTTCTAACCTCAACCACTGTGTGATTTGACCATAGTATTCCTTCCAATACTGTGTCCTTAATTCTGATCCTGTTCTCCAGAATATGTATCTTAAAAAGAGGCAGAAATGTACCCATATCACTTAGGAGCAAATCAGCTAATGTAAGTCTTAGATAAATGGTGCATTGTCAGACAAATGGAAAACTAGGGAGCATGTGATTGCCAAATTCCTAATAGCTCAGTAGGCCTAGAACTCTGGTAGCTCTCGATGAAAACTATCAAACTCTCCACAGCTCAAAATGAGATTAAATCCATTTAGGAAAATGGAAAACAAAAAAAGGTTACATGATCTTACTTAGTGTTAACCTCTGTTACAGACTTTTCAGTGTATTTTGGGGCCTTACTGCACAGAACTGACTGTGTGGCAAACTGTAGATTCAGATATAAAATCTTTATTGTTCTTTACATGTTAGGTATTTAATGATACCAGTTTAGAGATGATACACTGAAAAGAACAGCTGTTCTAGACAAAGAGGGAGATTTTAATAAATCAAATATATTTGCAAAAGAAATTGAGATCAAGTACAGTTGTAACTGTATCAAAGAACTATGGAAGGCAAAATAGCAGCCTGAAATAAAACAGGCATGCAGATTTTAGAGGGAAAAGTTAAGTTATGGAAAATACTTATCATGAATCATGGGTTTGATCAGTGCAGCTAAGACTTAGAACAGGTCTGTAAGGGAAAAAAATAGAAAAATTGCAGTGTTTCCAATCAGTTTTTCCTCCATCAGCCTCTTTTTGAGAACTTTCATTAAAAGTGGTAGAAAACGCTTGCCAACACTACATATGCGGAGTCAAATTCTTTATCTGAAAGTGTCAGTCTAAAATAGTGGCAATTGTGTTCCTAAAAGCTGGGTTATGTTATCTTGTAGACCATATAATAAACAGTAAATTCATACTAAAGTATTAATGCGTTCAAAGGTAATTGGTTTGCTTTCTGTAATTACTGTTATTAGGGGGAAGTCATCCTTGGTGGAGAAGTATATGTTTCACTGACTTGCAAACTGATGGTGGCAGTAGTACTGTCTGCTCCAGGATATAGACAGGATAAGCAAAGGGAGTCTCACACTAGAGCAACAGATGTAATTGATAAGTATTTGGCCTTTTGGTCTTTCCGAATTAAAATTTCTAAATCCAGGAATAGCTGTGGACCATAGGTATTTTAAGTTCTGCACTGATTGCAGTCTTTCAGCATGTAAGTATCTTGCAGTGTTAAGATTTTTCATTAAATTCTTCTCCGCTTAATAAGAACACAGTGTCGAAACTGCAAAATCACCCTAGGTTACTTGAGAAAATGATCAAAGGAAAGTCAGTGGAGTGGGTTTCTTTCTCCTAAATATGCTTCTAAGGCTTTTATTATTAGCTGGTTGTGGATGACTTTTAACATCAAGTCTCAAGTATAGATTTTTCCCCAAACTTTCCATTTAATTTGAAACTTTCTCAGTTTGAAAACTGTATAAAGTTTGGGATGAAACTTAGCTATGAGTATTTCAAGGATACCATAATGAGCTGCTTAGAGATAACTGAAAGTTTTCTGCAGAAAGTTTTTGTGATGGATAAGGGTTTTCATTAGAACTAAGATTTCATTATAGGAAAACGTCACGTTCTTCAAGACTTCCAGGTCTGTATTTTCTGAAAATAGAAGAACTAATTTCAGTGTGAAATATCCTTAGAAGACCACCTTAAAAATATGATAGAGTACCTTATTTTGGAAATATTAATTAAAAATTCTGCTTCTTCCATTCAGATTCAGAATTTTATCTAAAATTTAAAAGTTGAAGTCTATTACAAATCAAAGTAATATGTTAAAATGGATTGATAATGTGTATTTCAACATGGAAACATTTTGGTTATATAGCAAGTTTCTTGATGAATTCTAAAGTTTTTATAGTTAATGTCTTATGGGAAAAGAAAAAAGTGGGCTGTTGTTTTAGTCCCTTGTAGTTTATTAAGGTATAAACCAGAGGACTTTTAATCTACCTGTGATGAGTTTGAACATAATTGCCAAACTGTATTAACAGTGTTAAATGTATATTTTGATAACACCACCATATTCCTCAGTAAATAATTTCTGAATAGGAAATAACAGGAACAAGTTATTTTAAAGCATGATGAAATTATTTATCATATAATATATCGTATATGTATTTTTTTATAACTTTCCTTGAGATACTTACTCATTTGAGTACTCTGAAATTTTTATCTGGAATACATTGGTTTTATTCAAACAACTCAGCTGTAACTGTCTAATGAGAAGGTATTTTACCATAGTAAATCTGTCCTGAATAATTTCCTGACAACTCTATTTTTACACATTTTCTGTTTCCTTTCCTGAAGCACAGAGACAGTCCTGAAAATAATCCAGATACTCCATTTGAGTTCACACCTGAAAACCTAAAGGTATGGAGACAAAAAAAAGTTAAAATACACAGCCTGTGTCTTTAGATCAGTACTGATACTCTTTTCTTCTTTCCCTTTAAAAAGCGAATAGAGGCAATTGTTAACAACTACCCAGGGGGACACAAGTCTGCAGCTGTCATGGCAGTGCTAGATTTGGCCCAAAGACAGCATGGATGGTTGCCCATATCAGCTATGAACAAGGTATTTAGTACTTAATTCTCTTTCAAGCATAATTTCACTGTTTTCTTAAAATATCTTACTAGAATATTAGCATTTATGTATCAAAACATACTAACATGGGAATTTACATGTGGCACAGAATTGTGAGGATTCTCTGTCAGAGACTACATTTTAAAAAATGAAAGGTTAAACTAATGCAGGGAAATTAGGGCTCCGTTGTTTACATAACATTAGCCCATTGCTAGAAACTACAGGCAGAACAAAACACAAATTACATGAGCCTTATTTAGACAGGCTTTTTTCCCAGACTCATCCTGGAAGTAGGAACAGAAACTTGAAAGATTTTGTCCACTCCTGGGCAAGAAAAAAAGATAACAATGGTGGGTTTTTTCCTCCTCAGATTAGTGGCAGTACACAGATTGCCAAGATTGTACTTAATCTCCAGGCCTGTAAAGGCTTCTGTGGAACAGTGTTAGTGTAGTCTGTGTTGTGAGTGTTTTATGATGTCTCGCAGCAAGTACCTGGAAGGCTTATTAAATTATTTATTAAAATTGTTTCACAATAAGCAAGCAAGCAGCTTCACTGCTCCAAAGTGATAGGTTGCAGGACAGTGATTAAATACCAAGAAATAAAAAAAATCTGGTTTATATTCATATGGATATATCTGTCAGATAAATCTATCATATTTTGTATTACAATCTGTCATCAGTTTTAAAAAGAAAAGTTTTAAATTCAATCAAGATATGCTAAATGAGGATTGCGAGCATTACAGAAGTTAAGTGCATGTTTAAAGAAGGGCAAATTTTGTCTGCTACTGTTTCTGCAACATAGCATGAAGCCTCAAATCTCCATTAATACTGAAGGGAAAAGGTGTTTTTGTTTATTTACTCTTAAGTAATACTATGTTTAAAATGATCTTAAGATTTTCAAGTGAACAAATATTTTCTGTGGTTTGTTATTTGTGGGCTATAGAGACTGGAACATAAAACAGTTACGCTTTTGAGAACAGCCAGTTCTGAACCTGAGCAGTTTGCCAGGGTTCCAGGTTAATGAGGTCAGGGATACTTATACCAGAACTGGCTCTGTGGAGATTATGCTTCACTCCCTACTTACTAGCTGTGATGCCAATCTGCAGACGTAGCCGTGGCATATTTCTAAGGCCAGCCCTGGTGTGTTGCAGAACCTGAGACAGACATGCTGTATCTGAATTAGGTGAGTGTAGTACCAGGCTCAGTATTCTCTTACCAGAAGGCTTATGTGGGTTAGCGTGGGCAGATGTGTACAAGTTCATTCATACAGCGAAAGAGCAGCAGTGCAGTATGAGCTGGAGCTGACAGTGAAAGCTGGAACCCAGCTGACTCCTCACATCAAGCTTGTGTGTGATGCTTGGTGCTGGAGGGAACTGACTTGAGCTCCTTGCTGCACTAATCCATGGCTTAGTGGAGTTTGTGCTCAAGCAGGGTGACTCCAATCGGAATAACTCAGGCGTTTTTTCTTGGCACTTGAATATAGATGTGCTTTGATACCCATCCCCTCCCTCTTACTTATCCGTTACTGCAGAGGACAGGTGACTTCATTGAAATGGTCTGTTAAATGCCTTTACTGATTCCCTGTGAGAATTCAATATAGTGTCTGTTTTCCCCTTGTTACAGGTTGCTGAAATTTTAGAAATGCCTCCCATGAGAGTGTATGAAGTAGCAACCTTCTATACAATGTATAATCGCAAACCTGTTGGGAAATACCATATTCAGGTCTGCACTACCACGCCTTGCATGCTGCGAGACTCTGATAGTATTTTAGAAGCCATTAAGAAGAAACTTGGTATGACACAAATTTGCAATATACTTTTTGTAATTTCTTTTATCTTTGTTTAATGATACTGGAGTAAAATTTTTCATGAGTGAAATCTTTGGAGAATAGGTGCTAAACACTTCAGATTTCAGATTTGACATTCTTTATTTTTAAAGATTTCAGTGCAGTAGAGCAGAAAAGGCCATTGTCTGGAGTGCCATTTAGTGGTCTTAAAGTGTTTTTTTAAGGCAGTTTGTTAGGAAATACATTACTCTAATGTGACCCTTGGACTGAGAAAGTAATACCTATCCCATATATAGGAGAGTACTCTGAGTGCTACAGCACTGTTTATATGCAAAATAAGTTTTTTAAGGTATATGCTGGAAGGGACCTTAAAGATCACCCAGTCCAACCCCCCTGCCATGGGCAGGGACATCTCCCACCAGACCAGGTTGCCCAAAGCCCCATCCAACCTGGCCTTGAACACTTCCAGGGAGGGGGCATCCACAACTTCCCTGGGAAACCTGTGCCAGTGTTTTGTTACTCTCAGGGTAAAGAATTTCTTTCTAATATCTAATCTAAATTTACCCTCGTCCAGTTTAAAACTGTTACCCCTTGTCCTATCACTACATGCCCTTATAAAAAGCACCTCCCCATCTTTCCTGTAGGCCTCCTGTTAAGTACTGCAAGGCTGCTGTAAGGTCTCCCCAGAGCCTTCTCTTCTCCAGGCTGAACAGCCCCTCACTGGGCTCCAGCCCTGTGATCTTCATGGCCCGCCCTCCTCAGGACCTGTTCCAACAGATCCACATCCGTGTTATGTTGGGGACCTCAGAGCTGGACACAGTACTCCAGGTGGCGTCTCATGAGAGTGGAACAGAGTGGGAGAATCACCTCCCTTGACCTGCCAACCAGTCTTCTTTTGGTGCAGCCCAGGATACAGTTGGCTTTCTGGGCTGCAAGTGCACATTGCCAGCTCACACTCCAGTTTTTCATCCACCAATACCCCATAGTCCTTCTGCGCAGGCCTGCTTTCAGTGCACTTATCATCCAGCCTGTATCCATGTTTGAGATTGCCCCAACCCAGGTGCAGGACAGGTTTGCACAGGCCTGCCTTTCTAGTCTCTCAAGGTTCCTCTGGATGGCAAACACGATGCTGATGTATCTTAGGAATTCTCCATGGAAAATATCAATTGAGAGTGCTGCATCATATCAGATGTAAGGGCAACTCTTGCCCTTCTATGAAGTCACAAGCTGTGCTAACATTTCCTAAGAACCATTGTGATAAGAGCTGCAAAACAGCTGCTTATTATCTTGCATTTCATATATTCTATTGTCTGGAGAAGGTGTATTTAGATGGAATATGTCTTAGTTTGTCAGTGTTAAGATAGCTTAATCTTAACTGAAACTCAGCTTAAGAAGTCAAAGCATTAAGGATGATTGTGTATCTCTTACTGAGACACAGTTTTATTAGTTTTTCTCCTCCTCTAATAACTATGGAGAAAAACTGCTTTTCAACATCCTTCCTTCCATGGAGTATTTTGTTGAGATCAGACTCTGGGATGTTATTTTGGCCAACCTGCCCTCTGGGGAATGTCTGTATTGGTATCACTAGAACAATAATGTGTCATGGAAGCTAAGTACATGTACAGAGTTGGTCAGGAAATAAGCCTTTGTGTGTAAACTTCGATGTTGTTTATGAGTTTGTAGCTAATAATGTTAATGCTTGGATCTTGTTTCATTTGGAAACACTGGATATTAATGCATTTCATATCAGCACACAAGTTGTGTTTTCCATATTTTTCCATTCTATTATATTGATAACTAAAACATTCCTGAGTAGAGCCGTTCTGTTTCTTAGAGCTGTCATGGTTATTTTTCAGTAGATCATACCTGTAAAAGAGGTCTCAAAAATGTATCCAAAGAGTGACTTCACCACTTATTAAAATCTTTTGTTTAATGGAAACATTTCGGACTCATTTAAGAGGCTTTACCTGTGGAAATGTTTTTAAGGCCAAAATACAAGTAATGAGAAGACTGTGGAGTACATAAACTCGTGCTTTATTAATCTCGTTGGGTAACCATTGCTGAACCTAATATTCTTTATTGGTTTAGGCATAAAAGTTGGAGAAACAACAGCTGATAAACTCTTCACGCTGATAGAAGTGGAATGCTTAGGTGCTTGTGTAAATGCACCGATGGTACAAATAAATGACAATTATTATGTAAGTATTGTGTTCCCTTTTAAAAGATTAAACTCTTCTGCTGGCTTACCTGTATTTTTGCTTGTTGCAGATTCTGATGTCGAAGTCAGTTACTTCACATTCCTATTGGCAGAGACAGTTTCTTGGCCTCTTTGTAAAACACTTCATCAGTGTCACAATGTAGTTGTGTATTTTTCCTTTCAGTTACTGTCTTGATTTATACAAGTGGGATGATGCATTTATGTGACAGTGGTCTGCCCATAAATCTGGAACTTTTAAATAGGCATTTGATAAGCTTTTAAAGGCACTTCAAAGCAGTCTGTTAGAAAGTATGGACTAGTTTAACACTATTTTTGAACTTTTAGACTTCTTCTGAATTATGGCTCAGTCAGATGGCATCAGACCAAAGGAAGTAATGTACTGACTGAATCTAGCTTTTTAAAATAACTTAATTTCTTTTATTATAACAGTCTAATTTTTAAGAACTGTTCTCATAAACTGTACCCACAATTTTTTGTCATGGCTGACACCATTTGCGGTACGTGCAATGGCATGTGTATATTGGGTAGGCAGAGATGCAGCTCGCTAATACACCAAGGAAGCTGAAAACACACACAGATGTTACAGATGACCTGCATGAATTTTGTTAATTTTTATGTAATTTCTGCAGCTAGATGCAAAATAAAAAATGTAACATTAAAGTGACAATAGGCTTTTTAACTTTCCTAATTCTTTAAACCAGTATGTCTGTTAATGGACAGGATCAAAATTACCTATGCCAGGATCACACAGAGGAGAGCAACTAATCTGATGAATTTTGAACACTGTAGTTAGCATAATTGCTGATCCTTTTTCTGTTTTGTCAATGATCTTTGTTGGTTTTTTGTGGGTTTTTTTACAGGAAGATTTGACACCCAAAGATATTGAAGACATAATTGATGAGCTGAAGGCTGGCAAAGTTCCCAAACCTGGCCCGCGGTATGCTCCATTTGTATAATATCGGACAACTACTTGAAGGCTGATCCTTTTGAGAAACTAAATTTGTGTTCCAGTGATTTGAGTTCATAACCTACAGCTAAAAAGCATTAATTCATTTACTGAACAGAATGGCATGTATTCAGCGCCTTTCCATATATTCAAAGCCAGAAAGAACTTGAAAAGAGAATTTTCATACTCTTGATGACTGACTTAGAGGAGCAGCAAATGTGGAAACATCAATTTTGATTTGGCTTAGTATGTAATAGGTGAATTGTATCACCTGTTGGATTTTTTTTTTTGTCTAGATCATGTAAATTGACAAATGCCTGTTGGTTGGGGGGTTATTTGTTTCTGACAAAACCCAGAAAGATTGCAAGTTTGTGAAAGGGTAAATTCTGAAACGTTCTTGTTTATTATTTCCCATTGTTCTCTGTTAGCCCAACTACATGTTTGTGTGAACGGAACAATTAATTTAACTTGAATGTTTTAACTATTCCTATTGTTTCTATAATGATTTTTTTTAATATCAGGATAATAATCCTAAAACAGTTACAGTTTTCAAACACAGGGAAGTATCTTTAACAAAAATATGGATTGATGCAATTGGATACTGCCTTTGGTATTACTGGGATAACATCACTTTTGTCTGGCCAACTTATAAATAAATAAAGAAAACTAGTGATTCTACCTTGCATTTCAGTTATGGAACTATTTGTCAGTACTTGAATTTGGAATCCTTTTGATTTAAGAACAGCATCACAGATTTTTGAAGGATAAATAGAATGAAAAAAAAAGTGGCTTTAGCCTTCAGTCAGATTTGTAACTGTCTTCTGTCCAGTGATTAAACAGTATCTGAGGTTATAGCAATACCAGCAATTAACAAAACTGCTTTCATTTTTCAGGAGTGGACGTTTTTCTTGTGAGCCAGCTGGTGGCCTTACTTCTCTGACTGAACCACCCAAAGGACCAGGTTTTGGAGTTCGAGCTGACCTCTAAGGATTTTTGTAATATAAGATGAACTATCTGAAAATAATAAAGTAACTCTAATCTCAGTAAAGTTATCTATGTTCTACTATTTTTTTAAAAGCAACAGCAGTTAGAATATCTTATTATGGTTTTAACTGCTGAAAAGCATAATCATAATCCTATATTACAAGACAAGAGGTTCTGTAGACTGTAAAGTGACTCACTGAAAGAGTCCACGTGTGATCACTGAGAGGTGAAAGTTACATCTTTTGAACTGTCACTGAAAATTCTTTGAGTTTTTTCTAAGGTTCTTTGAAGAAGCAACAAAACTTGACTAAATTACAAGTCTGGCAAATGCACAAGGAAACAAACTGAAAGGAGATTATCTGGTGAAATGTCACCACATGTTACTTTAAATTGCAACGTAAAAAAAACCAAAACCAACACAAAAAAAACCCCACCAAAAACAAACAGGAAAGGTGATCCAAGCTGTGTTGTGGGGGGCGGGGGGGGGGGAAAAAAGGGGGTAAAATCTGGTAGGTTCAGTAAGAAGTAGTGGTTCTTGAGGGTAATTCTTCTTACTACCATTCAGTGACCAGGAAAAATGTAAAAATTCTCTTTTTATCATGTTACAAAAAAAACCCTGGAAAAAACCCAACAACAGAAATGAACAACAAAACACCCCAAAAAACCCTTCCAGCCAAATAACAGTAGTACTTTGTTAAAACAATGAACAGCAACCAGAAACCACTTCCTGTAAAAATTTATTCAATTGGAGGAAGACAGAATATACCAGAACAGTTTAATACATGGCTAAGTGTAGTACATGAAACTATTTGATTTGCAGATGCTTCTTTGAACTTGCTTCTGTGTATCAGCTACTTTAAAGAACCAATTTATGTGAAATTAAGGTATTTCTCCTGATTAAAAAAAAATTAATAAAACAACCAAACAAACTGTATATTAACACTTAATACATATGCTTGTAAAATCTGGCAAATGCTTTGTGTGTGTGTGTGTATGCATACATACATACATTTCAACATACATTAGGAAATTCGAACATGTCAGTCACCTGAGACCATATCGTGTCTGCCTCTTCTAAAATCTGCCATGGAACTTGCATTCTTACTACAATCAGTATAATAGATGGAGCTTGATTGTATGTTTGTATTTTATTCTGTGTTATATTTAGTTTAATATTCTGATTAACAGAATACTATATTAATATTACTTCCCTAGACTATTCTCCCTCTTCTGAGTCTAATTTTCTATCTACAGCTTTGCCAGTGCAATGATTATAGTCTGTTCATGCCCCACCTTTATTGCACTGGGAAGTTCCTTGATGTATTGTTAAACAGGTAGTGTTACTGTTTGAAGTTCTGAGAGCAAGATATATACGTGTATCATTTGTATGTAAAACTTGTTATCCCTTCTACATGACTAAATTTATAAAGTTAAATCCTTGAACTGTATATAAATGGAAAAGTAAATTTGTAAGTGTAAGTCATGAGTGAAACAGTCACCCAATAGGCGTGACAAAAATACTGTATAGAAGTGATACAGAACACTCTGCATGTGAGAAAATAGTACACGGATTGAAATATTATCTGTAATTTAAATTTGCTGAATACTTGCCTGAAAGGTCACTGCAGTGTTTGTAATAGCCACATGCCTTGTAGCAGGCCAGACATCTGGCACTATGTGGCACTTCTCTAGAGACATGAGATGAGGTAGCATATTGCATTTTGATGTAGACAGACTCATTTTAATATGCCGGCCTGTAGCTGAACTGTTTGACTATAACAACAAAGCTATATTCTAGTTTATATAGAATTACATTATTCTAACCTAAGTAGAAAGCAGGCAACTGTTTTTAAAGTGTACATTGAATATAACCAAGGATTTTGCCTGTGCTGTGGAACTGTCATGTGCTACAATTACTCATGCCTTTGTACCTAACTGTGAAGCTGATGGATTGCATAATTGTGCTGAAGGAAAACATAGTTTCAGACCTGCCAAGTTGGAAACTTCCAAGTATACAAAAACAAAGCTCTAGAAGGCCAGGCTCCTCCCATTGGTAAAGCTGGCTAGGAGAACTTGCCTTGTTTGACTATTCTCTGCTAATCATTCCAACTGTACAGGAAAATCTTGATATCAGTCCAGTCGTTCTTATCCAACAAGTAACCGTTCTGCCAATAATCTGACTAGAAAAGAACAATTATGTTACCCTTATTGTGTGGTGCAAATCTGATACACCACTGTTTAAAATTAAATTGAATATTGTAGTACAGCTATAGGACTGTGAAATATTTGAAGAGAAATAAGTAAATAACCATTTCACACTTTTCTCTCATCTTACTCACTTAATTCATCAGTTACATGAGGCTTTATGGTCCTGGTTTCTACATCAAAGAAGTTTGGCAATCACTGAATTGAGATAAATTATTAAATAAACTCACATTATTTCAGATTTTGTTGAAACGGAAACATTTCAAACTTCAGACACCTCAGCCAGAGAAACAGATTCTGCAGTATTTGTTACATGGAGTTGTTTACTATATACAAAATTATTTTTGCAATGACAACTTATGCAGGGCTGTGATGAGGATTAATAAGGTGATCATTACGGAAGAATTCTAGAATAGTGTAAGAATTAATATATCCAAGTTCTCTTCTCTGTTCTTGAATAGCTGCAGATAATACCCTGTGCTTGCTTTTACTAGTAGTACTGAATATTTTAGGTATCAAATATTAACAGGACATAATTCCCATTATTCTAAATCCCATATAGCAGAGGGTTACTAATAGTAATTTTGGGCAGCTGATGCTAATTTGTCAAATAATTAAACACCTTTAATTCAGCAATTTCACCTCACTGGTTAACATATCAGACTATGTGAGTTTGTGTTCAGTTCTGGGCCCCTCAGTTCAAGGAGGACAGGGAATTGCTTGAAAGAGTCCAGCACAGAGCCACAAAGATGATTGAGGGAGTGGAGCATCTCCCTTCTGAGGAGCGGCTGAGGGAGCTGGGTCTCTTTAGCTTGGAGAAGAGGAGACTGAGGGGTGACCTCATTAATGTTTATAAATTTGTAAAGGGTGAGTGTCAGGAGGAAGGAGCCAGGCTCTTCTCAGTGACAGCCAATGACAGGACAAGGGACAATGGGAGCAAGCTGGAGCATAGGAGGTTCAACCTGAATATGAGGAAAAACATTTTTACTGTGCAGGTGACAGAGCACTGGAACAGGCTGCCCAGAGAGGTTGTGGTGTCTCCTTCTCTGGAGACATTCAAAACCTGCCTGGACGTGTTCCTGTGTGACCTAGTCTAGGTGATCCTGCTCTGGCAGGGGGGTTGGACTGGATGATCTTTTGAGGTCCCTTCCAGCTCCTAACATTCTGTGAAATGAAAAATAAGTTAACTGCAGCAACAGCCAACACATTCCTTAAACTGGTAATACAGCAGTAACAGAGCTGATCCTGTGTTTTCAGCGGTCTTGTATGCCCCTCTTCTTAAATGAGGAGGAAAATGAAAGAATTCATACGCTACATTAATTCTCCAAATGTAAAAGTGGAAGAAAAAACAGTAAAAGAACACCTTTTAACTGGAGAGGGGGGAAAAAAAGACTACCTAGAGAAGGTTTTAAGAAAAAGAGGTACAGTCTTGGGAAAGGAAATGAGAACGGAAACGGAAGCAGAACACATGCAAAGAATCCGCAGGGCTGAGAGAGTGGGTGGTGGTGGAGAGGTCGTGAGAGGTTGTGGAGTCTCCTTCTCTGGAGACATTCAAAACCCGCCTGGATGCCTTCCTGTGCAACCTCATCTAGGTGTTCCTGCTCCGGCAGGGGGATTGGACTAGATGATCTTTTGAGGTCCCTTCCAATCCCTAACGTTCTGTGATTCTGTGGTGGTCCTTGCCTTTGGTAAAGATGGGAGTAAGTTCAGAGTAATAGGAAAATCCACTAAATACCCAATGATGCATTTGATGTTGGATAACAGAAAGGGTTTCCATGACCTCCACACACCACTAGAAAAATGTTATCTGGAACCCTGTTCTGTCATGAAACAGGAAGAAGCAATGCAATTCAGTTCCATGGCATGGTATGTTAGCTGGGGTCACCAGCTGGCCTGCTGCTTACCTACCCACAGCTAGTGGAAGTGCTTTCACCTGCATGACATTGTGCAAGTTCTTAGGATAAAGCTCTTATTTTAGATTTTTGCAGTCAGACTTTCAGTCATTCAATTATTAGACTGCATTCAGCAATGGCACAATTCAACCAGATGCTGTCCATGCTTGTCTTAAGACCAGTAGTTCACACAGCAGGTAACACAAGATGATTCACTGGGGAAGTACTACACACACACACAGTGCAGCTACAAAGGCATTTGCAGCTGTGCTACATAAAACAGAGGTGCTTCTGGAGACAAGGGGAAGAAGCTAAAGCAGGGGTAGCAACTAGCAATCGACTAACTGATGCTTTTTAATAGTCCAAACTAGTTCTTATAGAAGGCTTAAGGAACCATTTTTTTCCTTACTGATAGTATTATCAGGTCTTATCACCTGTGGCAGAAGATGTTGCTAACAAGACTCCTTCCCTGTCACCTCAGCTGTTAGTTGTGAACACCTACCAACACACAAACAGACACACTGGTGCACAGGGATCTGAATGCTGTATTATACTGCTGGACTCCAGCTGTAGCCTGTCATGTTTTAGAGAATGAATCACCAGTACCATCCCCTATATAACACTGTGGAAAGAAAAAATATTCTGCCTTGGGAAACAGTTCTTACTCCAGTTAAACTGGCAGTCTACAGCCTGTCTACTCTTCAGTCTGCCTGCCACCTCAAGTGACAGCCTCTGTCATCAGCCTGACATGAAAGAATATGAAGTGAAGGCAATTCCCTTTGTTACATGGTCACAGGTGCCACCATACCTGCTCCTGGTCAGCTGATGCTACTCAAGGTACACTAACAATCAAATCACAGTGAAGGCAGTCGCTTTACAACACAAATTATCTGTACCAGCATTTATACAGTAAGATTTTTTGAAAGCAAGCGAGAGAGGTTTGCCTAAACAATAAGCTGTTGTGCAGCACG